TCCCTATATAAATGGACCAGTCTTTCAGTTTTGTTTTGGTAGAGAAACCTAAACTAGACACAGGCCTTTTATTTTATTTATTCAATTTTTTATCTCACCGTTCTCCTGTCAAGGGGCCTAAGCTGGCAATAAAGTCAAGCCTTTCCAATACAGTCTGGAAAGGAGATTTAAAAACAAACAAACACCAAACAATTATTTCTCCTTATCAGGAGTGGGAATCTTGAGGCCCTTCAGTTACTGTTGGGCTCCATATTCCAGTAGTCCTAGCTATCATAGACAATGGTAAGGAATGCTAGGAACTGCAATCCAGCAATATCAGGCCGGCCCCAAGGTTTTAAAACTGGTTTCTCATCCCCTCCCAACATCAGTGAGAACCACAGAAATGATTTAAAAAATGCTTGTAAAACAAAAAAAGCATAGATTTAGCTTTTAAGTTAAATCTCAGTTCAGTCTCAAGAGTTGTTTATAACTGTGATCAAGTTGACTTTGACATATGGTGACCTTATGAAAGCGAGACCTCCAGGTCACCCTAACATCAATAGCCAAGCTCAAGTCTTGCAAACTCAGGGCCACCTGGAATGGGGTCTTCCTCTTTTCCTACTTCCTTCTACCTTGGCAAGTATTGTTGTCTTTTCTAATGAGTCATGTCTTCTCAAGAAATGCTTGAGATACTAGTTCTTACAACCAGTTTTAAGAACCTTAAGGGTAAATCTAGAAGGTGCATACTCAGCCAGGCTGATAAGGAGTCAGACTACTGAATTAGTAATTCAGGCATAGTAATTTTTGTATTGGGTTTTAATTAACTTATGTGTGATGTTTTAAATTGACTTGATTTAATATTGTTTTAAGGGGTGGTGGTGGGGTGTTTGTGTATTATGTTTTCATTGGACTGCATTTTAATCTTGTAAGCCGCCCGGATTGGTGTACCATTGGGCGGGGTATAAATAAATTTTATTATTATTATTATTATTATTATTATTATTATTATGAATTCCTAGAGGGGCTCTAACTACATTGCCTTCTTCATTACCACCCATTGCAACTGTCTCCAAAAACTTCATCCCGAGGGCTGAATAGACTTAGATTTCCACTCACTGGATTCTGGTGCAGCCCAGTAAATGAGAATTTCCCCCCCCACACACACATACACCATGCAGAGATACACACCCTTTAACAATGGCATGCCAGAGACACCTGGAGTGGGATCCCACATGTGTTTATATCTATGGTAATGTTAAAAGCCTCCAAGCCAAAATAGGAGTACTTGATTTTAAGGGAGACTATAGATATGATGCACATAAAGGGAATGTGGTGGAATGGAGAGTATCAGTGAGGAACATTGAACTCTAGATAAAACTTTATTGCAGATGTGGAGATCATGCATCCCTCCAAATGTTGTTGGACTGCAATTCCCTGCATTGCTCAATGGTTATGTTACTGGAGAGCAAGTCCCAGTATTTCTCACAGGCTATAACTGGCAAGCACTCTTGGGTTTTGCAGAGTGCTTGCCTTGTGTCATCTGGCATCATGATGATGTTGATGATCATTTATTCACTTATATTCCACCTTTTCTCCAAAACTGAGACTCTGGGTAGCTTATAAAAAATAAAACAAATCCAGAAGCAAAAAGTTAATTTTAAAATGCAGTTGAACTACCTATGGAATGAAAAACATTTCAAAAAAGATTCACTGAAAAGGTAAAAGATAAAAATCAGTAGAATCGCTTAAAAGCCCTTGTAGTCATGTTCCTAAAAGCCTGCTGGAATTGATTTCCATTCCTTTTTTATAGGATGGACATAGAAGGGTGTACCAAGGTACTATTCCTCTGTATATCAAAGAAGACATATTATTAAACAAACGAGAGATCTAAAAATGGCAGATTCCTGTACAGAATCACTCTGAGTGACAACAGGCCCTCAAATGGCCTTTGCACACTGCCAGAAATAGTGCAAATTGAGTCCACTTTAAGTGTTAGGGTTAGTGCTAGAGAATCATGGGAACTGTTTTTTTTTTCTGAGACATTGAGCCTTCTTTGTCAGAGAGCTCTGGTGCCACAATAAAATACAGTTCCCATGATTCCCTAACCCTAACCCTAACCCTTAAAGTGGACTCAATTTGCACTATTTCTGGCAGTCTGCAAAGGCCCAAAGTCTTACTGAAAAAGAATCAATATGACTTTTGTGAGGCAAGTTCTGTTTCATTAAACGTTTACAGTTCTTTGTAAGCATCAAAAAACAAAACAAAACATGGGAAGTAATAGTCCCACCTAGATGGTACGGGATCAGTACACCAATCCCTGTGAGGAACAAGTGAGGGAAGTGATTATGCTTAAGCAGGAAAAGAGAAGATACAGAAAGGATATGATTTCTGCCATTGAGTTGACCCCAGCTCATGGCAACCTTGTGGATGAGATATGTCCAAGATCTCAAAACCTCTGCTACTCTGCTTAGATCCTGCAAATTCAGTCCCGTAACCTCTATGGTTGAGTCTATCCATCTGGCATGAGGTCTTCCTCTCTTTCTCCTGATTTCTATTTTCCCTAGCATTATTGCCTTTTCTAATGATCTGTGCCTTCTCATTATGTGGCCAAAGTATGACTACCTCAGTTTGATCATCTTGGCTTCCAAGGTGGTTTCAGGCTTGATCTGTTCAAGGACCCATTTGCTTGCCTTTTTAGCTGGTATCCTTAGCACTCTTCTCCAGCACCACATCTCAAATGAATTGATATGATAGCCATCTTGAAATATCCAAAGGGCTGTCTTGTGGAAGACGAAGTAAGTGCAAAGGCAGGCCTACTGTTGAACATAAAGAAAACAAAAATAATGACCACAGAGAATTTACACAAAGGTCAAACAAATGGGTTCTAGGTCAGATCAAGCCAGAAATCTCCCTGGAAGCCAAAATAACAAAACTGAGCTTGTTGTACTTCGGACACATCATGAGAAGAGAGGACTCATTAGGAAACGCAATAATGCTAGGAAAAGTGGAGGGAAGTTAGGAAGAGAGGAAGGCCACATGCCAGATGGATGGACTCTGTTTAGGAGGTCACGGGTATTAAGAGGTTGCAGGAATTAAGCAGAGCAGTGGAGGACAGAGAGTCTTGGAGATGTCTCATCCATAGGGTTGCTATGGATCAAGGGCGACAACAACAACAACAAAATAAAACCAATACTTTCCATAGCGACAGAATTCAAAGGTACAGCCATGTTAGTCTGTAAAATCAGTAAAGAGATCTTGTAGCACCTTTGTGACTAACTAAAAGAAAGAAGTTGGCAGCATGAACTTTCGTCGACTTAAGTCTACTTCCAAATGCATCTGAAGAAGAAGACCTAAGTCTACGAAAGCTCATGCTGCCAACTTCTTTCTTTCAGTTAGTCTCAAAGGTGCTGCAAGATCTCCTTACTTAATAAATCCAGGTCAAATATGGGTAAAATGGCCAGGGCAGAGAAGCAGAGTAGCCCAAGAAGCCAACCCAGCAGCTGGCCAGCTGGCTCTCTTTAGCAGCTGCTGCCCTTGTGTCAGCTGAAGGAGATGGCTGCAGCTGCACATTGCCCATGAATAGCCGAGAAGTGGTGTGTGCCGGCTGGTGGCTTGAGGAGTCAGGCTGGCTTTCTGAAAAGGAAAAGGCTGGGGGTGGAGGCTTACTTTGTGAAATATTCACTAGCCCAGCAGGGAGGCTGCAGTCCTTTGACTTAGTGGTTATTTGTTCTCCATGAGGAACCTCTTTAATGATGCTGTGGGGATTCATGGGTTAATGTGGATGGGAGAAAAATGAGAGCTGGACCATGCCACTGTCTGTGTGGATGCCACAGGCACCAGCTGGGCTGCAGCAAAGTTTCTGCCTCCAACATCTCTAAAAAAGCTCTGAATCTGCAGCAAAGAGAGTTTTATTGGGCTGGCTATAGGTACTCCAAAGAGTCAGTGCTGTGTAATGGTCTAGGGCAGGAGTAGGCAACCTAAGGCCCGGGGGGCCAGATGCGGCCCCCCGAGGCCTTTGGACCGGCCCCAGGCCGGCACTGCCACCGCCCCCCGCAATGATATTGATTATTGTTGTTATTGCCTTGGGGTATGGCTTTTCTGGGGCTGAGAAAGTGTGCATGCATATTTTTTTTATTTTTATATTTATTTATTTATTTATTTATGGTGCTTCGGCCCCCCAATTGTCTGAGGGACAGCAACCCGGCCCCCAGCTCAAAAAGGTTGCCTAGGGGCTGGACTATGACACTGGAGATCAGGGTTCAATTCCCACTCAGCCATGAAACCCACTGGGGACCTTAGGCAAGTCACATGCTTTCAGCTTCAAGAGGAGGCAAAGGCAAATCTCCTCTGTACAATTTTTTTTTTAAATTTCCAGATGTGTCATTAACTGCCATCAAGTCAATGAATGAGAGGAAGAGTCAACATGGTGCAGGTTTGTGTGTTGAACTAGGACATTGGGAGACCAGGGTTCGAATGCCAGCTTGGCCATGGAAACCCACTGGGTGACCTTGGGCAAGAAAAACTCTCTCAGCCTCAGTGAATGGCAATGCAAACTCCCTCTGATGAAACCTGCCAAGAAAGTCCTACGACAGGGTCTTAGGGTCACCAGAAGCCGGAAACGACTTGGAGGCACACAACAACAACAACAGCAACAAATCAATGAGAGACATTTAGTTCCCCCTATCATCAACATCCCTCTCAGGTCTTGCAGACTCAAAGCACCCATGACTTCCCTGACTGAGATGATGATGATGATGATGACGACAACGACGATGATGATGATTTTCATTTGTATGCTGTCTTTCTCCCAGGAGGGACACAAGGTAGCTCACAAACAAAAGATTCCAGTTTACCCATTTGGAATGTAGTTTTCCTCTTTTCCTACTGCTTTCTACCTTACCAAGCATTATTGTCTTTTCTAGTAAGTCATGATCTTTTCATAAATCCAAAATGTGACAGCCTCAGATTAGAGACATAGCCATGTTAGACTGGAATATCAGCATGCAAAGGGATCTTGGAAAGCCAGTGTGGTGTAATGGTATGAGCAATGGACTATAACTCTGGAACCCTGGGTTCAAATCCTGGCCTGGCCATGGAAACCCATTGGGTTACTTTGGGCAAGTCATGGTCACTCAGCCTTAGAGGATGGCAATGGCAAACCCACCCCCCCCCATGAGGAAACTTGCCAAGAAAACTTCATGGATAGGTTCACCTTAGAGTCACTATAAGTCGGAAACAACTTGAAGACACAAAACAACAAAAGGGATCTTGTAGCACCTTTGAGACTAATTGTGCGGAAGCAGTTGTAGCATAAGCTTTCACCAACTGAGGAAGTAGACCAAGACTACGAAAGCTTATGCTACAACTTCTTTTACACAGCTTGTCTCAAAGGTGCTACAAGATCCCTTTGCATACTTCTAGGGAGAGTTCAGGCTTGATTTGCTCTACCCCATGTATGGTGCATACATATATATTACTAGATTTAGTTACCAGTCCATTTCCAAACTAATTCAAAATGGTGGTGCTCATCTTTGAAAAAAAAAACAACAATAATAATTTATTTCTTCCTCTCTCCTCCCTATGGTTTGAGGTGGGGAAGTTTAAACAGCTAAGGAACATCCTACCTAAAGGAGCATCAGGTGCCATATATTCTTTCGTGGTAAACCTTGGAGGTGCTTAAGACAACATGGTTTGAGTATTTAATAATAAAAATAATAATAATAAAATTTACTTATATACCGCCCAATGGTTGCCCAATCTGGGTGGTTTACAGCATAAAAACAGTTACAATAAACAACATATCCCTCCCCCCCCTTAAAACAGTATTAAACAGTGACATAGTTAAAAAATCCAATGACAATATACAAAAAAATTCATAACAATTAAAATAATAAAAGCCGTAACACATCATCCCATTGTTATACTACGAGGGAACCAAGGTAGAATTTAACTACGATGCTAGAAGACCAGGGTAACAATCCCAGCTCAGCCATGGAAACCCAGTGGGTGACCTTAGTCAAGTCACACTCTCTCAGCCTTAGAGAAATAATAGAATCATAGAGTTAGAGCTGGAGAAAATATCATAAGAAGAACAAGTTTAGACTCAGATGAGGGAGGAGTGAAGATAGGAAGAAAGATGATCAACAATCTTAGCTATGTGGACGACACTATATTACTATCAGAAAACATCACAGCCTTGGAGCAATTACTAAGGAAAATCAAGGAAGAAAGTGCTAAGCAGACTTGTTGCTGGACATAGAGAAAACAAAAATAATGACCATGGAGGATCTACATAAATTCAATCTAGACAATGAGGAAATCAAAACAGTTAAAGAGTTCCCATATCTAGGAACAAACATTGATCAGAATAGAGACTGCAGTCAAGAAATAAGAAGACTAGAAATGGGAAGGGCAGCTATGAAAGAACTAGAAAAGATTCTAAAAAGTAAAGATATACATCTGAGCACCAAAGGGGGGGTTGCAGACTGCCAGAAATAGTGCAAACTGAGTCCACTTTTAGGGTTAGGGTTAGGGAATCATGGGAACTGTAGTTTATTGTGGCACCAGAGCTCTCTGACAGAGAAGGCTCAATGTCTTAGGAAAAAAACAATTCCCATGATTCCCTAGCACTAACCCTAACCCTAAAAGTGGACTCAATTTGCACTATTTCTGGCAGTCTGCAACCCCCCAAAGTTAGAATCATCTAAGCCATTGTATTCCCCGTCACCCCAGGGATACCACATATAATAATTATACCAGGGTGGTTTTTATGGCATTTGAGTGTTTTAGCTCTATCTTTTCATTTTTGTATATTTTTCTGTAATTTCATAATGCTTTTATATGATTTTAGCTGTTGAGATGATTTTAACTATTTTGAATTTTATTGTGATGCTTTTAACATGTTTTGTTGCCTGTGAGCCACCTTGGGTCCCTTCTGGGAGAAAGGCAACATCCAAATGAAATAAAGAAAGAAAGAATAATGCAGTAATCTACGTAGTTGGCAGCAGACAAGCCAAGCAAAGGCAGTCTTGAGGCCTCCAAAATCTTACAGGTGGTCCTTCCCCCCCCCATGAAAAAAATTGCATTTTTGGTGCCATAAATCCTTAACCATCACCTTCAATTCTTAACCACTATGTACAGATGTGAGAGTTGGACAGTGAAGAAGGCAGAAAAGAGGAAAATAATCTCATTTGAGATGTGATGCTGGTGAAGAGCGTTGAGGATACTGTGGACGGCCAAAAAGACAAACAAATGGGTCCTTGAGCAAATAAAGCCAGAAATTTCTGTGGAAGCCAAGATGATCAAATTGAGACTGTATTATGGCCACATCATGAGAAGGCATGAATAAGTGGAAAAGACAATAATGTTAGGGAAAGTGGAGGGAAGTAGAAAAAGGGGAAGACCACATGCCAGATGGTTAGACTCAATCAAGGAGGTCATGGACATGGATTTGCAGGAATTAAACAGAGTAGTTGTAGAGAGATCTTGTATCACCTTTGATACTAACTGAAAGAAATTATCAGCATGAGCTTTCGTGGACTTAAGTTTACTTCCCAAAAGGCATCTGAAGAAGTAGACTTAAGTCTATGAAAGCTCATGCTGCCAATTTCTTTCTTTCAGTTAGTCTCAAAGTTGCTACAAGATCTCTCTGCAACTGATTCTACAGACTAACACGGCTATATCTTTGAATTTTAGGCAAAGTATTGGCAGAGGACAGGTGCTATTGGAGATCTCTCACCCACAGGGTTACCATGAATAGGGGAGTTAACAATCTAGAAAATGAGGAAATCGAAATAAAAGTTCCCATACCTAGGATCAAACATTGATCAGAATGGAGGCTGCAGTCAAGAAATAAGAAGAAGACTAGGGATGGGAAGGGCAGCTATGAAAGAACTAGACAAGATCCTAAAGTGGACTTGAGGGCATGGGTAGATGAAGGAGTCCCCAAGGGCCATTCAGTCTAACTCCATGCCATGCGTGAATACACAATCAAAGCACTCCTAACAGATGGACCTCCAGCCTCTGTTTGAAAGCCTCCAAAGAAGGAGACTCCACTACTCTCCAAGGGAGCATCTTCCACTGTCAAACAGTTCTTATCATCAGGAAGCTCTTCCTAATGTTGAGGTGGAATCATAGAATCATAGAGTTGGAAGAGACCACAAGGGCCATCCAGTCCAACCCCCTGCCATGCAGGAACTCCCAATCAAAGCATCCCCAACAGATGGCCATCCAGCCTCTGCTTAAAAACCTCCAAGGAAGGAGACTCCACCACACGCCGAGGGAGTGTGTTCCACTATCAAATAGTTCTTACCATCAGGAAGTTCCCCCTAATGTTGAGGTGGAAACTCTCTTCCTGTAGCTTGCATTCATTGCTCTGGGTCCTAGGGCCTTTGCAGACTGCCAGAAATAGTGCAAATTGAGTCCACTTTAAGGGTTAGAGTTAGTGCTAGGGAGTCATGGGAATTTTTTTTTTCCTGAGACATTGAGCCTTCTGTGTCAGAGAGTTCTGGTGCCACAATAAAATACAGTTCCCATGATTCCCTAACCCTAACCCTTAAAGTGGACTCAATTTGCACTATTTCTGGCAGTCTGCAAAGGCCCAAAGCCTGTGGAGCAGCAAAAACCAAGCTTGTTCCCTCCTCAATATGATATCCCTTCAATTACTTAAACAGGGCTATCATATCACCTCTTAACCTTCTCTTCTCCAGGCTAAACATCCCCAGCTCCTTAAGTCTCAATCAAAGCACCTCCAAGAGATGGGCATCCAAAGCCTCCAAAGAAGGAGACTCTACCACAATCCATGGCAAAGGTAAACCTCCTCTGAATAAAGCTTGCCAAGAAAACCAACAATCTAAGATATGCAGATGACACCATAATACTAGCAGAGAACCTCACAGACCTGGAACACTTACTAAGGAAGATCAAAGAATAAAGAGCAAAGGCAGGCTTACTGCTGAACATAAAGAAAACAAAAATAATGAGCACCGAGGACCTTCACAAGTTGAACCTAGACAATGAAGAAATAGAAATAGTAAAAGAATTCCCATACCTGGGATCAAACATTGATAGAAATGGGGACTGCAGTCAGGAAATCAGGAGAAGAATAAGAATGGGGAGGTGGTTATGAAAGAACCAGAAAAGATCCTAAAATGCAGAGACATGCAACTCAGCACAAAAGTCAGAATCATACAAGCCATCATATTCCCATTTGCTGTGTATGGATGTGAGAGTTGCACAGTTGAGAAAGACGATAGGAAGAAAATCAATTCATTTGAGATGTGGTGCTGGAGAAGAGTGCTGAGGATCCCATGGATAGCCAAAATGATAAACAAATGGGTCCTGGAGCAGATCAAGCTGGAAACCTCCCTGGAAGCCAAGATGATAAGACTTAGACTGTCATACTTTGGACACATCATGAGAATGGAGGACTCTTTGGAAAAAACAATAATGCTGGGGAAAGTGGAGGGAAGTAGGAAGAGAGGAAGGCCACATGCCAGATGGAGGGACTCTATTAAGGAGGTAACTTTGGGTATTAAGAGGTTGCAGGAATTAAGCAGAGCAGTGGAGGACAGAGGGTCTTCTTGGAGATGTCTCATCCATAGGGCCTCCATGGGTCGAGATCGACTCGAGGGCAGTTAACAACAACATGTGCGTGTGTGTGTGAATGATATCATCCTGTTTGTGACTTAGGAGGGCTAAGTCCAATTTATGCCATTTTAAGTCTTTCTTTTGTTCATTGCTTGGGCTGAAATTCTCAACTGACTTTGCAACCAACTTTGGGCCTCTGCAGACCTGGCCAAAGGGCCGGCCTGGAGGCACAGCTTGGAATGGGGCCCCAGACCGGTCCTGCCCCCTCTGCCGCCCCCCGCCATGATGATATTGATTATTGTTGTTATTACTTGTTCTTGGGGTTTTCTTGGCAAAATCTCCACAAGGGTTTTGCCATGGCTTTTCTGGGGCTGAGAGAGTGTGCATGCATATATATATATTTTAATTTTTAATTTTTTTTAAAAAATAATGTTAATTTATTTATTTATTTATTTTTGGTGCTTCGGCCCCCCAATTGTCTGAGGGACAGCAACCCGGCCCCCG